TAAATGAACTTTTGGGATACGTTATAAAATATGCCTTTTAATTTTTATTATTACTTAGTTTTAATAAGATTTTTATAAAAATCACTCTCTAATGTTATTTTTTATTATGATCATTAAGTACTTTTAAAAGAATAGTGCTAGAAACATCAATCTAATCTCAATTTTTTGGACCAACTCATGTGGTCGTGAGTTGTCATTTATTCACTTATAGATGTAATTTCATAATATTATTAGTTGATATGATAATCTTTCAAAAAAAAACTATCAATAAAAGAATATCAACTCACATACTACATAAATTATCAAAAAAAATAGTATTAAAATTATCTTTTCAAATTAATATAATTTGGAATACTAATCCAACTTTTGGTTATCTTTTTTTTACTTCCGAAAACAAAAATAAAACAACCTTAAAATTATTATCTTATATATAGATATTCTCTACTTAAACGAGAAGAGAAATACTAACGTTATTATTTTTATCACTCCGTGCATTCACCGTCTCTCTGCATTCGAGAAACCCCATTTATTTGGCATATGGTCATGGGGCTAGCCATGCTCAAAGATGACGGTGGCTCCAGCCTCATCTGTACGTGTGAGTGAATGAATGAAGAATTAGATGGGTTTTGAATTGAATCCGATTGGTACAGTTCCACAGTTAGACCTCAAAAAATAGAGCCCCACCTGCCTGCCCACCACACCCATTTGGCTTCTCTTTTCGGGTGTTGCATTAATACTATTTTCCTGTTTCCTTGCCACCGCCTTGGCATTTAAAGCTTCCACTCCACCGTTAAAGCCTGTCTTTTTCGATATTTCTCTCCTTCTACACGAAAAGCCCTACCCAAAACTCCCCACAATTTGCTTCACTTTCTTTTTGGTCCCTTTTTCCAAATAGTTAGACTTAGAAACTCCCCACAATCTCTAGTTTCATGACCATGCATTTCATTGCGATTGACTATAATCTTGATCTTAACGTGCCTGATAGACTCTAGAAAAGAAAAATAATGCCTTGTTTTGATAATTTCTTTGATGTGTAGTTTCGACAAGTACAATCTATATAGTGCCAGAAAAGTACCGCTCGTAAAAAAGTCTAGATTCAATGGAGGCTTTCTTTCACTTTCATTCAAAAGAAACTAATAAGATAAAACTATCATGAGAATAATTAATTCGCGCATTGAATCTTCTGCAAAAACTGAAGATATTGTAAACCCTTACTTAACTTGATTGCCCTAAACAAAGTCTAGAGCCGGAACTAATTATTTGTAATGTCAGCACCCAAAAGTTAGGTCTAAGTTCAATTACACTTATAGGCACATACCTACGTATGTGTGTATGTATGTGTGTATGCATGTATGTATCTATGGATGTGTATGTGTGTTTGTGTACTACGTGTCTCATAACAAGTGTTAGGTTGGCCCCATTATTAAATGGGCTTATCTAGTTACCACCTTTAAACTGTTCCTTACACTTGCTTGCTTTATCTACAACCGTGGTTATTTTTAAGATACTTTGAATGCTCAAAATCTAGAGTTGAAATCTGTTGTCCCGAATTTTGCATCTCATTGGTTGTCCCCTTAAACACTATTTCGCCAATCCATTTGACTGCTTAAGTAGTTTTAATATTTGATATTTATTATGTGGCCAAATTCTTAAGTGTAGATGATACGGTAAAATAGTATTGTGAGGAAAGCCAATAGGATTAGAAATTTGGGAAAATAGATTTGAACTCCAAAGTGATATCTAAAGTTGAAGGTGACGAATGATAGCACAAAGGAAGAGAGAGAGAGAAGCATATCACATGAAACCTACTTGGCGTACTTATGTTTCTTCAAGAATTAGTCTTAAGTCTATCATTGGCACACAAAATACTAGTAGAAACTAAAAACTAATAATTTTCATTAGCATTAGGTGATGTAGGAATAACCATTGGTCATTTGGTGTAGAGTAGTTGCCTACTCGTTCTTTTCAATAAGATTTTAAGTTCGAGTTGGTCTCAATAAATAATATATATGGGCAATCCACTTTACAAGGGATCCATATACTACAATTGAGATCATACGAGTATGTCACCTTGTTTTCCTAAAGTCTTTTGTTTTCAGAGAAAAGAAAACGTGATAGAGTGAGAATTTTTAAAATGTTGACGAGTTTTTTAAAATTGCCTTTTATCCGTCTCTTTCTTTGGTTTGTTGGTTCAAAGAAATGCCAAAAAGTAAACTGCAGCCTAAGAATTGCGAAGTGTGACGACTAAATAGGTTGATCTCCAAAAATTGTGTGGCTGGACTCAATCAGCTGCCTTAAATTCGTTTACAAAAGATTTTGTATAACAATTGTTGGTCTTGAGATATCCTCATCATAAAAGTTGCATAAACGTTATGCTACAAAGTTGATAAAGAAAGTCGTAACTTTAAATATATATATATATATATGTATAATGTGTATATACATATAGGGCTTTTCTTCAATCTTTCTGTGTTACTGTCCCTCTAACATAATATATAGAAGTATAAAATGTAATATGATACTTATTCAACATAATACTAACATTAAATATGTGAGATATCATAATATTTAATTATCTTTAACTATCATTACACTTTCTAACATCCTTATTATGTTAAATAACCAAATTAAAGTGTAACAATAGTATGAGCTAGTTGAAGTTTTTTGTGTTATGTCTTTCTAGTATTTATATTACCTTAAATAATTATAATGTTATGTTTCCACTTTCATATGTTACGTAGGAGAGACGGTTCATCGTAAGGACTGTGGACAAAACCTATATATATGTATATGCATATATGTATTTATGTATGACAGAGGTTGAAATTAGAGGGAGTAGTTGTTTTGTATTCGACTAATCAAGTTAATAAACTAGCCGCCTAACTAATTAGAACCATCCAAATATCAGATGGCGCCGTTGATGAAATGGCACTGACCAAGTGACCATGACTTACAAGACCAAAAGATCTAGTGTCAAAGCCTTGAGAGCTACGCCTACGCAGATCTTCAACAATTTCATGACTTTGTCTTGGATATGGCTTTAAGTCTATATTATTGCTGACATCCTATTTGAATTTCAGGTTGTAGTCGAATTAGATTACGGTCGAAGGGATGGAATGATGACTGGAGTTTGGAACATTCGGAAAAACTTGTCTCACATTTTAGGTATAAATTTGTAATACTAATTTTTTTTTTTTTTTTTTTTTTTTTCAAAAGGGTTTAGTAGGATCAAAGTGGCTTGTCATTTTCCAGCGAAACCCCCATTCAATTCAATTGGACACCCTTCTAGAGTTCGATTAGATACCAGAGTGTGAAATGCGGCGTTGAATTTTAAACCATATTTTCTTTAAGTGAGAAAGAGTCTTAAACTAATCACCTTACCACTTCGACCCCCTCTGTAGGGTATTTATATGTAAAAGGTCAAATTTAGATGTTTAAAAGTTATTACCACCACAAAAAAAGCCCCTATATGCTATAGTAAAATTTAATAGTCATGTTGAAATATAACAAAAGAAAAATTGAGAACATGTTACAAATAAAAAAACTAAGATAACTAAAATAATTACTACAAATATTTGTAGTACAAATCGTGAATATCGTTATAATAATTACTATATAATTTTGCAACATAAATCACGAATATCATTATAATAATTACCATATAATTTTGGCATTCTTAAAATATTTTTAAAAAAAATTACTATCGTTCAACTCAACTCTCATAAATTTATCGAGCTGTGCAATTGTTACATTTTCCATTTAATGTCATCATAACACCGAAATGTTCCTCTCTCTCTCTCTCTCTCTCTCTCTCTCTCTCTCCTATTTTTCCCCATCTTTCTCCCTTATTTTTCCCCATCTCCGCGTCCTTCCTCTCATGAACCGTCAACAATTAAGGGACCGTTTAATTCACTGATTTAAGTTTTTAATTCGAGTTAAGATATGACTTTATGTGAGAGTTTTTTACTGTAGTAAAAAATTTAGATGTGACTGTTTTTAAGAACTTTTTACTATAGCAAAATTTGAATCGATAAAATGAACGAACATAAACATACGAATTTGTTGTAATCACCCTATGGTACATATGGTGATACCCATGACCCACCCTGGCTTGCCATATATTCTCCTGCCATGTCACCAACATTTGGTAGGTCAGCTAAGACTTGATTAAGGCCTCGTTCACTTCGCGGATTCGAGTTTTCAATTCGAGCTGAGATGTGACATTTTTTGAGAGCTTTTCACTGTAGCAGAAAAAGTTAGATGTGACATTTTCTGAGAGCTTTTTACTGTAGAAACCTAGAACTGAAAACTCAAATCGGTGAAATGAACGAGGCCTAAGTATGTTTCTTCCCAGTGATTATTTTATCCCTTTTAATTGCAGTATTAATTATTAATTGATTCAATTTATTGGGTTTTTGTGTGTAAATCTTGTGGAGTCCCTGTTACTACTGTCACTGTTTAGCTGACATCTTCCCAGTGAAGTTGGAAATAATAAATAATAATAATAATAATAGTGGTTTTTATGATAACTGAAAAATTGCACTGCCAGTAAGATTCTTTTAGTCGCTGGATAATTTGATGTGATTCAAGGTTAGAAACGCGCACTTCCAATATTTGTCCTAGAAAGATCCAATAATAATAATTGACGTTGTTTATTTTAACGATTTGAATTTTTAAATTTTAAATTTTTACCGTTAAAAACTTTTTAAAAATATTATATTTAATTTTTTTTATTACAATTAAAAACTCTCAAAAAATATTATATCTTAACTCGAATTGAAAATTCGAATCTGTAAAGCAAACGAAACTTTTATATTTGTGGTATGCGCAAAGTTCGATGGCAGCTAGCATTTCTCTTATTATGTGTTTGAATAGGGTTGTACAACCATCACGAATGTGAGAGAGAGAGAGAGAGAGAATAGCAAACCAAGTAGCTTTCTTCATTGCTACTGTAGAAGACAAAAGAAGTGTGCAGGGAAACATGGCAATGATGAAGAAAATAATGCAAAACATCATCAACTTACTGATGAAAGAAGAGGAAAAAAAGGGGGGAAACTCTAAATTACATTATCCTTGGAGGTAACTTAAATTATGACGGCCATTACTTTATGTAAACCTAACATTAAAACAGCAGGCTTTCTTTCCGTCCGTCTTTGCACATTCTCCACATTCCCTAACCCTACTTTCACCCGATATTACCAAAACAGGGAACAAGAAAGAAAACTGCATCCCCTTGATTACAGCAGATTAAACACTTGGCACCCAATTGGGATAAACGAAGAATAAGAAAACTATACCTACATACAAGAAAGACAAAGCTTGTATCAGTGGGATGCCGAAGGCAGCTTCCAAAAGGTTTTGGTTGCGACAAGAATTTTTTCCCTTCCGTTCGATTCCGGTTCTTTCTGGTGTATGGTAGCTGTCCACCTTACAGCACGAGCTATGCGTGCTACCTTGTCAATGACCTCAGGAGAATCTCGAACCACAACTGTTCCTTCTGGACGCAATATCCGGTCCATCTCCGCCATTAAATCCACAAGGTTACACCTGTCACAAAGTCAAGGTCAAATAAACAAAGGCACTTCAAGAACTCATCAAGCACTTTCCTAAAATTTTTAGCAAAGATTAATGTCTTATATCTCAAGGATTATACAGAAGCTGTGTTGCAAGTTGCTGCAATGCAGCTAGGTATAGGGATAGCATATTCATGGACTAGATGTTTTTTGCCCTATTTTCGGTTAATAACAGTCAAGGGCTCATTGTTCTACAACTATGCGTCTGCAATATACTTTCTGACAGAAGAATACCATTAATGATGACCAAGGCGGAGATGTACAATGTTTAATAATCTCTTGCGTGGACATCAATTTATGACTAAGATACATGGTTAAGAATTAAACATACCTGTTCTTGCTTGAACCTTGATGCTTTATGAGAGATTCAATGTCAGTTACATGAATAAAATCGTAAGTCCGAGGATATGTCGAGAATGGCTCACACCTGGAACCGGCAAGCATGTGTCAGAAAAAAACCACATATAAGACTACCATAGTTAGAGTTCTCGCGAACTAAATTCCACACATCATGAACAAAAAGGTGTACGGTCAAATATCATACAGGAAAAAGATTAATGCAATCATAAAGAATGTCAAATTCAAGTTTGATAGAAGTTTTCCACTCTTACATAGAAGCACTCAAGTCTCTAATACCAGAATGAGTCACTGTTTGACGTCTGCTGTGTGCAACAGGATTACTATTACAGAAATGCAAGTGGGAAATAAAATATAAGAAAATAAAATGATACAGGTAGAAGGGAAGGACATCTATTCAGAAAAAATGTAAAGTACAGCCTTAAAATCAAAAGACATTGACATGAAGTTTGAGTGGTAGCTTGAACGATAGAATCATTTTCAAATAACCTGATCATCAACTTTTATTAGGACCAAATTACAGTAACTGTTCTAAAGTACAATGGAACCACCTACCTTTGCAAGTTAACTGATGCCACTCAAGATTGCAGGAAATGTTTCTTACAATACAAGATTGAGAAAGTTGTTAAAAAAATATACAAAGGTGAGTCACTTGCAAACAATTCATTTATCCATGTATTCTAACCAGTTAGTTTCAGAATATATATTGTTTATCTTGTCCGTGAATTTTTAAGTATAAAATAAACACAAAAGGATACTGTAAAATCTTACCAATCATGGTAGACACCGATAAGGCCTCTATCGTAAATTACAGAGAGAGTCGAGAGCTTGCGAGCAGGTACAACATTCATTACCCACACAGGGTCAGATTTGAGAGCTGCTGCAAAACCTCCAAAAAATGCATTCATGTCCATGACGTTGCGTACAGCTGAAGTTCCCAGCTTCAAGTTTAAATAGTTCTTATAGTAAGCAACTCTCCTTACCCACCGCCTTGTGTCCGCCTCAAACACATCAATGCCATTTTTCATGATCAGGGCCCTTGAAGGAGCTTTCGTCAGTCTGGCTGGCCACTTTGAAATCTGTCCAATGGCAAATTCTCCCTTGACAGAAGACATTCCACTCACGCATTTCTTTAGCTTGAAGTACCTGCAAAAATGATTATGCTAATTTATGATTTCTGTTTTTCCACAAACTGCCATTATACCGTAAAAGGGGAAGGAGACAAGAAGGAAGTGAAAAGCAGAGAACTAAGACCATGTTTTAGGAACAGTTACCATGCAGCACTTGGGTCATCTGACTCATCACACAGTTGAAGCCCAAATTCATTCTGATTTGGAAGACATGAATCTACAGCAGGCTTTTTCCATATAGCCGTGTTTCCATCCACAGCAATAAGCTCATAACACAACGCTCTTGCCACAGCCTGGAGATCTGCCCATTCCTTGTCTTGATTAGCCCACTCTACAGGGGGCCCAGAGATTATCAGGTAACCTCCTGGGCGAAGTAACCGGTCTACTTCCATGAAATAAGTTGCATCTGCGAAGACAAAAGTTTCCAAAGTAAGCTTGTGACATTATTATTATTTTTCAAATGAGAGACAACAGGTGACAAATAACTCACTGTAGGCAGTGAATGGAATAAGACAACGAGAGCAATGAACCAAATCAAACGAGAGTGCAGGAAAGGGAAGTCGTCGAGTGCCAAGCATGGCAACAAATGCTGGAATTCCTCTTTCAAGTGCAAACTGTATCTGTGATTTGTGAGAATCTCTTGGAGCAAATGACATTGTTAGAATGCCTTCATTCAAAAGATACCCACCAAAACTGGCAACCTATAAGAAAATTGTATCCTGTTACCATTTGAAAAGAAAAACTTTGTCAAGTACTTATCATATTGAGATATTGGGAAAGCCCCCACCCCACATCCCATGTCAAGAGCAGTCCTCAAAGTTCCTCCGCTGATAGGAATGTATTGTCCAAGTTTTTCAATATATTGAACTGCTCCATCAGGGAACATGGTGCCACCACCAGGGAAAATGAAGTATGGACCTTCCAGTTTCATCCATCCTTGATGACCTTTCCTCTCTGCAATTTTATTGTGTGGCATGTTGCTGTGCCAAATCTGCACACAAAGATAACCTCATGTCACCATAAATTGATAAATTAATCACTTGTAAGCTAATAGTTTAATGTCAGTGATGCAGAACAGATCTGTCTCAAATGCCCCGTGGAACATATATACCACATAAGATAATGTGGTTTGTTGAGGCAAATTCTGAAGTTTGATATTTAGTTATGCAAGTGTTAGAAGCTGATGGCACATATGACATTTGTATTAGTCAGATAAGGGAGTTCGTCACAATTCTATGCAGTTAATAGTTAAACTCTCCACCTTCCAATTGTACCCTCAGATGTAATGGAATTGATCATTTTCCAGAAACTATTTCTCAAATTTTCTCCCAAACTTTCTTTCATTTTCTTTCCTAGAAAATTCTCCAGTAGTTACATAATCCTAAGATTCGTAACATGATTAAAAGTGCAAGAAGAGCATACAGGGATTTCCAAACACCACAACCATACCACCAACATCAAAAGTGATAGTAATTCTTGTAATCTCTCGCATTAAGTGCAAGTTCTTCCTAACCCCATGGTGTGGGCTTCTATGGCCATGCTAGTTGTTGTGGAAGTATGGCACAATATTCCAGCATATTACCAAAGTTTTAACCAAAGGTGTCAAGACTCATTTCACACAAGCCAAGTATAACAGTCAACTGTAGCTCATCAATCTAACTATTGAGCGTGGTAAACTTTTCATGATGTAACGTGTGACCCCACCCCTTTCTCATAGTTTTATTTAATAGATAAAGAAAAACTAGTAATCACGCTGCTTGTATTCATTTACTTAAGAACCCAACCTATCTCAATTCCCGAGTCACACCTAAAACAGCAAAACAAAGAAATTAAACCAAGTCCTCCTCTTATACACTCAAATGTATACATAGTTGTAATACTCAGCTTAACATTAACCTAAACAATTCCGTTTACATCGCATCAAAACAAAGCCATTTGCTACAAATGCCCAGAGATAGATTCCAAAAAACCCAATCATGAACACACATACCTTCACCAAAAAGCAATGAGACACCACCCCTAATTATGCAATCAAAGACTATTCATAATCATGACTCACAAATTATCACGTTAGGAATTAAAATCCCTATTTCCTACTTTATAGTAATAAACTCTTAACGTAAGAGCTACTTACATTTTCAGTCGCGGCAGAATTCAATCAGAAAATGACCAAGTATAAGATCGATCCGCAAGCAAACTCTGCGTTACGGCTGTTAGGACTGCTCTTAGTTAGTTGGCAATTTTTTGCTGAAAGTCGGAAGTATGAATTCAAAGAAACAGTTTTTTCCTTTTTGGGTTAGCTGCATCAAGTTTGGAATGGTCCTCTGGATTTGGATTGATTTTGCTGAGATTGATTGGTGACTGATTTGGTTGACTTGGCTGATTGATGATTGGTGGCTGATTTGGTTGACTCGGCGGGAAGATTGGAGGTATCTATGGACAGAATCCGTGGTGATTATTTTGCTTTGAAGAGGATGATCCGTTTTAGAGGACATAGGTGTTTTTGTGTAGCTGATGTGTGCGGCTGTTTTTTTTTTTTTTTTGATAAGACGGTGAGCACATTTTGAGGGTTGTGGAATTGAGACAGATTGGTTGTTTTGTGTGGAAAATCTTGCAGACTGTTCTCATGGTGGATGTCAATACTTGTTTGTGAAGCAATGTTTACAAAGTCGGGTGGTACCCGCTGGAAAAGTCCTTTAAGGAGACTCAACACAACGGCGACACGATCAATGAGGGAGTCTTGAGTGTGTAAGACCGTTATTGGTGTTTGTAATCTTTCAATCTTAGTGGATTGTTCACTGTCTAGACGTGGCCCCGCAAATGTAGGTGCACGCACCGAACTGCGATATCAATTTTGTGTCTCTTTTGTTTCTGCATAGCTTCACTGCAAAATTATTTACTGATTACTTAGTCCGAAATACTTAACATATCCTCAGTGTTTCAACCAGTGTTGTAACACCCTTTGTGACACTAGGATAAAAACGGACCTTTCAATTGGTATCAGAGCAGTTCACTAACCGTTTGTTTGGTGAGGTTTTGGGATTTGGTCTGTAGTGTCAGGGATGGACTTTTTGAAAGAAAGTGGCACAGTTTCGCGCCCTCCTCTCCTTGATGGATCCAATTATTCATATTGAAAAGCTCGCATGAAGACGTTTATCAAGGCAATCGATGAAAAGGCATGGCGTGCTGTATTGACTGGATGGGAAAATCCAGTAACCAAGGACTCTGAAGGGAAAGAAGTTATGAAGCCTGAAGAGAAATGGTCCACAGAAGAAGACAAATTGGCAAAGAACAACTCAAGAGCACTAAATGTTTATTTTCAATGGAGTTGACGCCAATCAGTTCAAACTCATTTCAACCTGTGAATCTACCAAAGATGCTTGGGAGATCCTACAAACCGCACATGAAGGAACGGTTGTTGTCAGATTATCAAAATTGCAAATCCTTACTACAAGGTTTGAGAATCTCATAATGCTTGAAAATGAAACTATTTCTGAGTTTAATTCAAAATTGTGTGACATTGCTAATAAGGAATTTGCTCTTGGTGAAAAATTTTCTGAGGAAAAACTTATGAGGAAGGCACTGAGATCACTTCCCAGAAGATTCGCCTATAAAGTGACAGCTATTGAGGAGGCCAAGAATGTACGAACGATGAAGCTAGAGGAGTTGATGGGTTCTGAAGAATTTTTGAACTTCTTATTTATTTCATTCCGGTACACCAATAGCATATATATACACAAATGACTAATAAGGAAATAACTAACTAGCTTGATTCTCTCCTAAAAATTAGGAAACAGAATCATGAGAGAAGATCACAACCTATCTCTCATTTTATTTCTAAAATACTTTCCTAAATTAAATTCTCTAACTTTGACTTCCGAATTCAACACTCCCCCTCAAGCTGGAGAATATATATCATATAAACCCAGCTTACAAATTAAGTCTTCAAAGTTAGGTCTTGGTAGAGCTTTGGTGATGATGTCTGCTGTTTGTTGTTTGGTAGGAATGTAGTTCAATTTAACGGTCTCACTAGTCACCTTCTCTGTGATGAAGTGTCTGTCAATCTCAACGTGCTTAGTCCTGTCATGATGCACGAGATTCTTTGCTATGCTTATAGCTGCCTGATTATCACACATCATCAGAATAGGAGATGAACTCATTTGTCCCAGTTCACTAAGAGCCCTTTTTATCCAAATCCCTTCACAAATTCCCTATGCTAGTGCTCTGTACTCAGCTTCTGCACTACTTCTGGCTACCACTGATTGCTTCTTGCTCCTCCAGGTAACTAGATTGCCCTAGACAAAGGAACAGTATCCAGAAGTTGACCGTCTATCAATGATGTTTCATGCCCAATCTGCATCTGAATACACTTCAGTGTCACGATTCTCCGTCTTTCTGAAGAATAGGCATTTCCCTAGTGTCATTTTTAAGTATCTAAGAACTCTGTAGACTGCTTCCATGTGTTCCTCTGTAGGGCTGTGCATGAATTGACTTACAACACTCACTACAAAACCAATATCTGGCCGAGTGTGTGACAGATAAATCAGGCGTCCAACAAGTCGCTGATATCTCCCCCTGTCTACTGGTGTACTTTCTTTCTCGGTGTCAAGTTTCTTTTGACTGTCCATAGGAGTATCAACTGGTTTGCATCCAAGCATACCGGTCTCCTTAAGAAGGTCTAGAATATATTTCCTTTGAGAAACGACAATGCCCTTCCTTAATCTAGCCACTTCCATTCCAATGAAATATTTCAGATTTCCAAGATCTTTAACCTCAAATTCTTCTAACAAATACTTCTTCAACTCCTGCAATTCCTTCACATCATTCCCAGATAGAATAATATCATCAACGTAGACTATCAATATGGCAATTTTCCCAGCATGAGATTTCTTGACAAACAGAGTATGATTAGCCTGACCCTGTACGTAACCCAGCTTCAAAACCGCCTTTGTGAATCTGTCAAACCAGGCTCGGGGAGATTGTTTAAGGCCGTACAAGGACTTCCGGAGTTTGCAAACCTGATTCTTTGCCATACTTCCTTCGAAACCAGGTGGGATTTCCATGTAGACTTCTTCTTCTAGATCACCATTTAGAAAAGCATTTTTTATGTCCAGTTGTTGCAAGCATCAATCTTGGTTGACCGCCAATGAGAGAAGAATTCTGATAGTGTTAAGTTTTGCAACAGGAGCAAAAGTCTCTTGATAGTCTATCCCATAGGATTGTGTAAATCCTCTAGCTACCAACCGAGCCTTGAATCTCTCGACTGATCCATCTGCTTTGTACTTTATAGTGAAAATCTACTTGCACCCCACGGGCCTTTTTCCAACTGGTAAGTCAGTGATAGTCCATGTCCCATTCTTCTCAAGTGCATCAATCTCATCTTGCACTGCCTTCTTCCATTCAGAATTTTGTAATGCCTCTTGTATTGTGTTGGGAACCTGAATATCATCAAGAGACGTAGCAAATGCTCTGTAAGATGGTGATAGCCCTTCATAAGTGACATAATTCCCAATTGGATGACCTGTACATCTCCTCACACCCTTCCTCAATACAATCGGCAGGATAGAGTCATCAATGCTGGGAATTGGCACATCTTCATCCCTATCCGTACCCATGTTTTCTTCAGGTGGACTTGAAATTGAGTCAATATATTGGCCACATGTTGGCTGTGATCTGTGCTCTAGCTCCTGTCTCTTCTTCCTCCTAATGTAGACTTATAAATTCTCATTAGCAAGCTGTGGGGTTACGGACTGGATAGGCACGGGAGAAGAAACATTTGTGGGCTGGACTGATGACGGCACAGGTGTGGATGAGTCAGTGGGCACGGTTTGAGAAGGCCTTGGTGACTCTGAGTGAGAAAAAGGTACCGACTCAAGAAGAGACTCCCAAACTTGATGTTCATTCATGCTCTCTCCCTGAACACGAGATTTGGGATAGAAGAACATGTGTTCAAAGAAAGAGACATCCATGGTGGTGTAAAATCTTTTGTTG